AATAATTTATATTTTAATCAATAAGTAATTATATATAAATCAATATTTTATAGTTATTTATTATTTGTAATAATAATCTTTATTCTTTATAACATACTTTCTATTAAGACTATTACTTGACTTGACTTTATAAAATCTTGTCCTATTCTATTTATAATACTATCTCTAATTCTTAATATTTTTATTACTTATGATCTATTTCTTATTCTTCTTTTTAGTTTTGTTCATAAATGCTTAGTTAGATTTAAGTTAGAAAACTAACTTATATAATTTAATAAGACTTTAATTTTATTATTAAAATCTATTTTTTTAATATTTTTAGCAATATAAACTGGAATATTATTCTCTTGAAATTAATACTCTTTATAATTAAATTCTTTTTTTATTAAGAGTAATAAATATTTTTCAAGTATTTTAATATAATTAAATTTATTTATTTTATTATTTACTTTTACTAATAATCCTAATTTTTTATTAAAAAAGCACTTCTATATTATTAATTTTTCATCTTCAAATTTTACTATTAGAATTAAATTTATAATATTAAATCTAATACTAAAAGTTTTTTAAATATAATTTGGATTATTATTTTTAAATATTATAAATTTACTTTTATCACTTTATATAATAAATTATCACTTTTAAATATTCTAATTTCTTCTTTTAATAAATTATTTTAGATATTATTTTTTTATTAATCATTTAAAAGAGATTTATAAGCTAATATATAAGAAAAAATTTGTATTTCATATAAATTTCTTTTAATAATTTTTGTGAAAATTTCAATATTAATTTTTTTAATAAATTTATTTTTAATTTCTTTAGCTGATTTTTTATTATTATTTTTAATAATAGTTTTTAGAATTTTTTAATTTTTATTAGTTAATAATTTCAAATATTTAAATAAGAAATAGATAATAAGATCATCTCTATTAAGATATTTATTAATAATATAAGTAATAGTTATTTTATGAATTTTAAATATTTTACTAATTTTTAATATTATTTGCTTATTTTTATAAAGATTAATAATAATTTTATCTCATTGACTTTTAGTTAAGAGATATATTTTAAAATTAATAATAATTAGAAATGCTTGCAGATTTATTTATATATTCTAATATATATTTATAAATAATATAAAAATTATATATATATTTATTCAAAATTAGAATAATATTATATTAAAATTTGAAATATAATTATTATATATAATTTTATATATTAAAATTTTTTGATATACAAAACTTTTATTTAGATAGTATATTTTACTAAGTTATAATATACACTCTCCTGCCAAAATTTTATGACCATTCATGTCAATCAATTAGTAAAATATATGAAAAATCTATTTTTTTGAAAGTCTGTATTGGTGTTATTTACTAAGTAAATAACAAAAAATTTTATATTATTATGAAGCTAATTGATCGTAGTTTTTGAAAAAAGCACTCATAAATCTGAATAAGTTATTGTAATGGAACTGTTATCCATCAAAGTATTAGCATATATATTACATATATAAAAATGTATGTGTAATATATTCTCATCACTTCAGCAAATTACAGCTTTGTTATGATAAGCTGTATAGATTTATGAGTGCTTTTTTCAAAAACTATAGCTAATTAGCTTCATAATGATATAAAATTTTTTGTTGTTTACTTAGTAAATAATATCAATACAAACTTTTGAAAAAATAGATTTTTCATATGTTTTACTAATTGATTAACATAGATGGTCATAAAATTTTGGTAGGGGAATGTATAATTAAATTTATTATATTAAGTTAATTAAATTTAAGTAATCTGTTTAATTAGTTATTTAATAAATATTATTTTAAATATATTATTATTTAAATGAATTTGTTTTTCTATCTTTAAAAATATATTTTTGAGAAAGTATTTATATTTTAATTAATTGATAAATAATAATAAAGTTATATTCTATTATAATCATTATTTAATAAGAGATTTAGAATTTAGAATTAATTTATTTAGTAAAAAGTTATTAAAATATATTATAATTAATAATAATTTTAAAAAAATTCAACAAGTTATAACTTATAAAATTTTGGAGTTATAATATATTATAATAAATAATAAATAAGTATCTTACTATATTATCTCTAGTTCAAACTATTACTAAAACTTTCTTTTTAGTAAAATTATAATTCTTCTTAACTAATAAAAAGCTTATATTAAAATATATTAAATTCTTTTCTACTATCAATATTATTTTATTTATGATATATAAATTAAATTTATTATTATATATAAAAATATATTTTATATTTATATCTTGTTATTAAAATTATATAATCCTAATAATAATAAAGAATTTATTTATTTAATATTATTATAAGTTATAATTATATTTAAAACTAAGAAAAAAAGTATAAAGTTAAATTAATCTTAAATAAGAAAATTATCTTTAATAAATCCTAATACTTAATAAAATAATTAAATTATTTACTTTATAATATTACTTAAAAATTCTTAAAAAAATTTTCACAATATTATAAAACTTGTAAAATCTTTTAAATTTAAATATTAATAAAAATATTATTTTTAAGAAAGAAGTATATAATAAATTAATAATTAGTTTATAAATTATTATGATATTATATATTATATCATATATAATTTATTATATTATAATTATCTAATTTTATCAAGATAAATCATATAGTAACTTGATTTATTTTAGTTATAAATAATATTCTTAATAGAATTTTTATTCTTTTTTATTTTACTAAAATAGCTAGATATATTATACTTTTTTATTTATTATTTATAATTATCTTTTAAAAATATTATTATTTAAATAATTATATATTAATAATTATTATTTATTTATATAACTTTAATTTATTTATTTAAAAATGTTATTTTTATTCTTTATTTTTAATAATCATAATTATAATAAAATTTTAAGTTTTTAATTATAATAATTTATTATCTTTAACTTAACTTTCTATATAAATCTCTAGTAAATATCTTTATTATTATCTTGATCTTTTGTATAAATTTCTTAATAATCTATATCTAATAGAAAGATTACATTTTATATATTATTTTTAAGAATATTAAAATATATATATATTTTAATTTTCATATAAATTTATAGTTATTATTATGTAATTGCTTTTTAAATTTGTCTCAAATTATTATAATTTAATAAATATAAAAAATATAATTATAATAATATGTAAAATATTTTATTTTCATACTGTATTAATATTATTTTATAAATTAATATTTTTAGTTTATTAATATATAATCTCTGAATATATATTAAAATAACAAGCAGAACTAATATCACTATATAATTTAATAAATATAAAAAATATAATTACAATAATATATAAAATATTTTGATTTCATGCTATATTAATATCATATTTACAAATCTCAATTTTCATTTGTTATATACAGTCAGATCTCTCTATAGTCACATCTCTTTATAATCACCTTTTTTTATAGTCATCTTTTTTGAGTTTTCCAGTTACTAATTAACTATAATTAAAAAATCTCTCTATAATTACACCTCTCTTTAGTCATTCAATTTTGCTTTTCCAAGTGTAGCAATTATAGAGAGGTCTGACTGTACTTATAAAGTCCTGTCACAACTGTAAAAGTATGAATTGGCTGTATTTTCTTTCAAAAAAATATTGTACTGAGTTTCTTTAAGAATTGTATTGCTGATTCAAATGCATTTTCTTTATGTTTATATCTATATTGTCCTAATTTGGATCACCAAAAGTGAATTTGCTTTTGTCAAATTGATAAATCCAAACCTTCACTAATAAGTGGTGCATATATTTCTTGTAGTAACAAGTCAATATTCTCTTTAATAAAATCTTTAATGCTTTAAGGTACAGATGTATTTTGTGATAGTTTTAGCGCGCTTCAATATTATATAACGATCGTTCGTTTTAACGAAAGTAACGTGACCTGTACTTCTATACATGTAGTCACAGGATTTCGTATTTGATTTGTGACTACACCTTTTTATAGTCACCAGATTTCAAGCTCCCAATATTGCGAATATAGTGAGGTGCGACTGAACTGTACTTGTCCCGTAACACTTACCCTTTTGTAGCATCGCCAGATCCCAGAAATGCATACAAACATTAAATTCCATTACATCACTATATAATATTTAGATAGTTGTTAATAACAAAATTTTTATATATAGGAATCTCTCGAAGGTCAAAGAGACAGCCGTGTGTGGTTTTAAGCTTCTTTGGCCACACAAAGTCGATGCATTGCGTTTAATTCTTTCGATATTGATTTTATTATTTTGACATTGCTTGTTTATTATTTGGATATTGTTATTTTGTTGTTTAATTATTGGTTTTTTGTGAATCCCTGTTGCATGTTATTGTTTTGGATAGTCATATAATTTGTCATTTGCGTTGGATATTCTTTAATTATATAAGTAAATTTTGCTTCTTTAAAATTTTATTATTTTGGACTTTATCTTTTTGCCCTAGATTTCACAATCGCCGTGGACGATTACAGAAGGCCTTTTGAAACTCAGTGAATCCCACTTCGTGTAAAATCATTCAGTCTAGCCCTCGGCCTTGTAACATCGTTACGTCTACAATTCGTTAGACAACCTAACTTCCGAGTTGAGTGTAACAGTTAATATATTTATACCGCGCGCATCCCAACGTTAACGTCTTTCATATTGATACAGAATTATTTGTTGTATTTCATTTCGCTTATAAAAAAGCTCGAGTTGAAAAATTATATTTTACACAGATCTGAATTGCAAAATTTATAGTGCATGTAATATTTCTATTTATGAGAAATACTGTATAATTGTATTAATATTTCTTACCATCGATTTTTTATATTAAAATACGATTGAAATCAATTTTTATTTTACATAAATACATGTATACAAAAAAATAAATAATAATTATACGATATGAATAATATTTCGTTCTCCCAAATTAGAAAACAATAAATATGATGATTGATAAAAACCTATGGCTCTCATAAAATCTTTAAATTGCTTGATGTGCCGGCTGCCCATGTGTCGCTTCTTTTAATATACGCGAATTTCTATACGAAAGAATCAATAATGCGAAATAAAACTAATAGACAAATAAAAAGTAGAAAATTAAAAAAAATTCGATATGTATTAGACGAGAAAAATTTCTAATTATTTACCGTGACTATAATACCAATGATCGCGCTAATAATCGTAGATGGAAGTAGAATATTATAAACCGAGTTGCAATCATCCAACGTGTATGTTCCTCCATTATCGCAGTAATCGAGAAAGTGTTGTTTTAGAGCGACTACCGCTATTATGCTGGCAATTCCTAATGCGATCGTAATTGCTAAGATAATCCATGCTATTATTACATAGTAGTTTAAGAGTTTGATTTTTCTCTAAAACGGAAATCAGTAAATTAATCGGTCTTTATATAATAATGTTAACATTTTGTGATCTTTTATAGAATAAACTTACTCTTGTTATCACAACAATTACTCCATAAAGTGAGCCGAGAGCTACAATAATTTCGAGAATTGCATCCACTAAAATCCAATGCCCAACATATTCCCAAACTATCATAATTAAATATCAATTTAGCAATGTGATCAAACAAAATTTTTTGAGTCGTATTATGAATAAAACATCTGAACTTACAATTTTTAGAGGCTTGGTCACTTTTATTATAAGTTGAAAAATCGGTAATGACTTTATAAATAGCACCAGCCTTATTTTTATCGAATTATTTTATTATCAAAAATGACAATTTATTGAATGTTCAATACAACATAAAGTAATAAGAGTACTAGCTTACCAACCGCAGAAGGCTTATAATCACCACAGCTCTTTTCAAAGAAATGCATCCACAGCAGGGTCTTATTTGGAATCCACCTCCAATGGGTCGCGATGTTCCTTCTGGGCGATTCATAATTATTTATTTTTTATAATTGATAATTTAAAAACACCCTCGTCGCTTTAGTAATTGAAAAGAAAATATTGTTTGACGATACGTAGTAATTATTCAAGATACCAACACATTTTGGTGCGATGCTTTTAAACTTTTCATATGTAACACAAACCGCTCTCATTTATGTTATAAAGACCTTTTCCAACTTGCTAATTATGCTTGTGTCAGGTTACTAAATTTTTGTTCGATGCATCCATCAGCTCACTAAATTTGGGTTAGGTCAAGAGACTTAGTCTATCGCAATTCGTATCCCATTCAGCTAGTTCCATTTACAATATAACAGTAATAGCGCCACAGCATCACCAAATTCGTCCGCATTTTTATATAGTAATAGATATTGTGTTCCATTTATTCTTCCGAAAAAAGTAAACGCAAATTTTATTTTCGATATTGTGAAACTAATTACATAAATGATAATTATCATTGATTGAACTAAAAAAAAACTTCATGATACTGGAAGCAATATTAATGACATCTTGCTTTCCCTTTAGAAATAACAAACAACTATATTTAGTACGAAACCATAATAATTCTAGATATATAATTAGTTTATATTATTATATTCACGAGACGCAAAAGCAAATCCGATAAATACATGTAGAAATTCGACCTCGACGAGTAAATCAGAATCTATATATGCACATGTATGGTTATGGTTTAATTCAATTGTATATATTCAATACATGTACATTCAAATGTAACACTACTTTCAACGTGACATAATAGAGAAGTGGCGCAATTTGCATCGGATTTATTTTTTTCACAAAAGAAAATGTCGAATCATTGATATTTGTTGACGTAATTTTTTCTAACAAAGATATTTCAGTCGTTAACCGATTCAGCCGCGTTGATGGATTGAACCATTGGCATGAACTTTCACTTTTAATAATGTCACAGGCAGCAAATCCATTGATTCTTTATTTGTAAATATCCATCGTAACCATGTTAAGTGGTTTTAACAAAATTTTGTTTTTAAAATGAGACGCTACTTAAATTTGAAATTGCTTCATATGTGGATCATTAAAGAAGCACGATTTCGAACAGGCAATTTATTTGGGATTTCAGTAAAAAAAGGCAAATTGAGTTTTATCATTATCGAATTTTCTTGAAATAGTTAAAACGTTGTCTTCAACATTTTGTATAATGTTTAAACTTAATTTTCCCCAATTTGATCAAACAAATCATTTTCCCGAATAATTGGTCAATAATACAGAATATATCATTAGAATCTGTAAATTCTATCCTCGTAAATTGCGCCAGGAACTTTATCCGACCATGCACATGGTGATTGTACATATATTAGCGTTAGAAATTTTCAAATAAAAATGTTAGTGTTAAAAATGATTTGGTCAATTGATACAGAACATATACTCCGCTAACGGATCCCAAATTTGGTGAAACAATTACATAAGGTTTAACCGTTTCTGTCTAGTCAAAGATCGGTGAAACACGCCCGAATTTGGAGTACAAATTTTACATGTATCACAATAATAAAACTAATTTTTAATTGACTGATCTTACACGCGCCTGGTTCTCGAACACTATTAGTATTAGAACATCTCTGGAACGTTTTTAATCCATCAAATTCAGCTTGCTGTTACCTGCCAGATGCTTTTATGTTGATTAAGGATAATCGGTAGGTGGGAGAGCTATTATTGTTTGTAATTGGTGTGGAATTTTAAATTAAAGGTGCCTATACCATTATCTACGGATATTGTATCGGCATTTGTCTTTGTTTTGTGGGTGAGTATATTTCTATTTTCTTTATTAATTATTTTGATATTATCATTAAATAATCCAATTCTATCCCTTTTCTTTACTAACACAAGCAAATCAAATTCAAATAAAATAAAAAATTATTCTAAATTTTCAACGCGAATTTTATGAGGGTTTACAACAACATAGGAAGTGAGCAGCGTGTTTTTTCAAGATTTAATTCTTGGCGTTGTTTATTTGCAAAATAGTTCCTTTATTTTTTGATGCAAAGACCCAACTAGCTTTATTATCTGTAGACTGCCTTCAAATACAAAATTCTTTACAGTAATCATATAATTAATCCCATTAATTTGTGATTGATACAAATAAAGAAACGGAGGTTCTCTATGGTTTAAATGTGGGGTAGATCGTTAATTTTCCATAGACATGTACAGTGTGTTAAAAAAAACCAGAAATTTTAATTTTAGTTGTATTCAATGAATCTTTATTTAATTCATATAAAACTTTAAATATATATGCTTGATAACCTAGTGAAAAAGTTTACTTAAAAGTATTTAATAGCTTATCCTAATAAAATTTTTCATAATTAATATTTTTTATTAAATTTTTTTTGATTATAAATACTTTTTAATCTTTTTTTATTTGTTATTCAATGAATATTTATTTAAATTATATAAAATTTTAAATATATATACTTGATAATCTAGTAAAAAGTTTAATTTATTTAAGTTTTCTTATTATTAAAATTTTTTAATTTTAAAAATATAAATTATAAAAATTTTAATAAGAGAAGTGTTCAAGTAGTCTTAAATAAAGTTGTTTATCATACTCTCAAGTATATATATTTAAATTTTTATGTTATTTAAATAAATATTTATGGAGAAAATTAAAAATTCTGGTTTTTTTTGACACACTGTATATTTATAATTATATTCTAGATATTCTAATTCTTGCATATCAAAAGAGATTTTCGTAAAAGGAATTAGATAACTATTACGTTATTTATGCAACTCACTATGAAAAGATCTTAATTTTTCTATTTGAGTAATAGCCTATAATTTTTCTAATCACTATTCTTAATTTTACGCTTATAACCATGCCAGACCTCGATCCGCCAATGACAATATCACATAAGTAATGGTAATGATAGCCCTTTAGTTGGTTAAATTAACGAAGATGAAATTTTCATTCTATGAGATTTACGAAACTTTGAGAAGCTCTTGAGCAAGTATGTTGCTATTGCACAGCAATTGTTTAAACGTTTCTTTGACATTCTAAGAAGCTAGTCAAAATTATCAATCCTGGAAATAATTAATAAAGCGTCAATGTAGTTATTATAATAACTTTGACAGATGTATAAATTTATAATATATCAAGATACGTACGTACTGAAATTAATGTTGTTAATGGAGTGCTTCAATTTATATTAAAGCATATAACCAACTCCGGCGTGGGTTATATGTATTAAGATAAATTGAAATACATACGTAATTAATAACATGATCTTTTTAATATAATAATTTGGCTTTTTACTTTTTCCTCATTTTTGCTTACTTTGTACGTACAGTAGCCACAAAAAGAAATCTCGATTTGTGTTTTCCCTGTTTTGTTATTGTTGACCTTAAATTTCTTCTTTAAGTTTATATATGCTGTACACTAGACGAAACTTTATTAGGTGTAAATATGATACCCAGTTGACATGGGTAAAATAGTGATTTTTATTGAAGTTATGAGTGCCAAGCAAGTTGCAAAAAAATATGCTCTAACCCGAGGATAGTATAATGAACTCTTGCTAAGTACAAAGAAACAGGAAAAACGAAAATTTACTAAAATTTCGGCGACATAAACTCTTAAACTCTTAACAATCAAGAAAAATGAAAAAGATAACTTGAGCCATCTCACGACATTGTCAACAAAAATTTGCCTGAAGGTAATTTGTCCCTTTTCATAATATAGTATGTTCATTGATACGCGAAAACAGCAAAATAACACTCTAATCCACACCGAGAAAAGAAGTAACGAAATAGATTCGAAAATCAAAGATTATCTGATTAACGTGTTCTCCCGATCCTAACTAACTTCATTTGAATTGTCTGGAGAACAATATTCAAAAGTGAAAAGCTTCCTAAGGATCGTGAAAACTCAAGACTGCTATCTTGAGGAGCCGATGATGTATTAGTTAGTGGTAAAAATTTTTTATATGCATAATAAAAAAGTAAAATAAATCGGGCGTCACTTTTTGTGGCTGCATATAAATGATTCATATATTACTATAGGAAAATTGACTTCCATATAATGTCATTCTCTTTATAAGGACAAAATTAGCCTGGATATTTGATGCATTATAGAGGGGTTTGACTTTTACATAAATTTCCAGGATGACTTCACGAGAATACGTATCAGTTTTCTATAAAGCCAATTCCTTGTACATACATATTGTTAATAATTAAAACTTTATAGCAATCTGAATCTATTTTTAAAAATTTGCTTCTAAAAAAAAAATAAAAAGCATATTATTTACACTTAGAAATTATTCGTTTTTATCTTGCTTTAATGTGACTTGCTTTGAACCACTTAAAATGATTTTATTACAACTTCATGTTCTTTACTCGTCTAATTCGTAATCTTTTCGTAATAATCAATTAAATATACTTTGTAGTTGTCTAAACAGCATGCAGATTAGTGAGTTTTACTCATGAGAATTAAGCATATAAAAATAAGAAGTAGTTAAGCTTTAATTAATATAGTTAAAAAATATATAGTTAAAGAAAGGGCAGAAGAATTATTTTAAATAAGATGATTTTGTAAATAAAAAAAGAGTTATAAACAAAAAAGAAAAAGGTAGATCTATTAGTTATTTTTAAGTTGATTTAAGTAATAAAACATGAATTTTTGTTTTGATATTAGCTTAATAAGTTAAGAAAATAGATATTTATTATGTTAGACTTTTAATTTTTTTAAAATTAATAAAATTTTGAACAAAAATAAGAATAATATAAGTAAAATAAAATAACAAGCTGTTTGTAAAGCAAAGAATTGCTTAAAAAACAAGATTATTAATAATTATATCAAGTTTGAAGTTTATAGAATTTAGTTTATTTTTAAGTAAAGTAGATTATTTATTATATCTTGTTTAAGAATTTTTATATATATAAATAAAGAATTATATAATAATAATAATTATATATAATAAAAAAATAATAAAAATTAATAATAATAAATATAGAAAAATATTAATCAATTTC